GCACGATATTAAACTGCTTTGTACAGGTCTTGAAGGCATGACCATAAACATGCCTTCACAAAAGGATACTTGAACCAATAAATAGGTTGATGTAGCACTCGCCTCAACAGGCGGCTTCAGCCCACATTCTAGAGAGAAAAATCCCTGGTGTCACAATACCATGAACCAAAAAAAAATATGAACATCAAGAATAATTCCGACAGCCTGAGTCCATTTACAAAAAGAACTCAAAAGACAGAAGACTCGCCAAGTAGGCAAGACAAGTCTCATGAGGAGGAGCACTATTCGCACGAGGTCATAAACACACTACAAATTGCTAAAGATGCCCTAAGAAGGCCAAAGTCAGTAGAACTTGGACCTGTTATGCAAACAAAACTGCAAGTAGGTAGGGGTTATACCCACAGCTGGTCACCTTGATAAACTGAGGTACCCTACCCACTGAGTATAATATTGGTACACCACGTAGACAGACGCCAACCAAATCCCCTTCAGCACACCATCTACGACAAACAACAAAACTAACAAACCCAGACCAAAATGGGAAAATGCTCTTCAACATTGCACTCGACCGCTAGACGGACCTGATTCTGACCAACAAGGTCTGTACAAAATCCTCAGCTGTAAGAATCACAATTAGTCCCTTGAGGGTGAGGGCTTGACAGGATCCCTCAAAAAAGTCTCTTCTCCCCCTAAAGTCTCAACAGATAAACTTGTACATTGTATCCAAACGTCTGAGCATCCTAGTTACAACATTGCGTGGATCTCCTTGGTGTTCACATGGTCTTGTGGCTAGGAAGAAAAAAGTAATAAAGCCGAATGAAAATTTTTGAATGTTGTCCTTCCTGCTTCTCTCGAAGCACAACATTTGGCGGGGCAAGCTGTTTGAAGACATTTTTCAACATTTTAGTCCCTGATGCGGAATAAAAAGAGAAGCCAGTCAATAAAGCCTCGACATATAATGAAATTCTCGACAGTGTCAGAATTTTACCAGAATGAGTCAGAATGTTCTTAAGCACTTCAAAAGGCCATTTGCCAAGTTTCGTTGCAAGCCGACATATGTAAGGCAGTGTAGATAAATTTTTTTTTTTTAGAAAAATCAGTTTTTAGCACCCTGAAATGGACCCTATAACTAGAGCTCTATTTTCGATATATCAAATTGCTGTGGGAGCACTGTTATTGGATCTGACACGGTCGAAAACCCCTATGGGTCAAGTTTCAGCTTAATCAAGCACTCCAGGACAAATTTATGAGTAAAAGACTAAAAATGGGTAGGCCACAAACTATTCCCATGCGTCCTCCCTGCACCAAATCACCATTAAAGGTGGCAATTTTTACAGTCGCGGATAGTGACTTTCGGAGGCCATATCTCGCTTGTCCAGAGTCGGATTACGCTCAAATTTTGTGAAGGTGTTCGTCTTGTCAAGACGAGAGTTTTGATATGTAGCATGCCCTATGACGACACCTGATCAGGGAGACAAGCTAGACTGAAGTTTCCGATTCGTGAAGAAAGTTACATGAAAATCAACAGCGACATGCCTCGCTCGAGCAGCCAAATGCCGGATTCCGACCAAAACCCAAAAATTGAGAAATCTTCATCCGGGCACGAAATCGTGCTGCATTTGTTGCCACGCGATTGTGACGGCATGGTTAGTGTGATCCAGCGAATAAATCACAAAAAAAAAAATCAAGGAACAAGCACACTATCAATCCGAAGTTTTCAAGATTCATCCAAATTTCAAGTCGTATGATTGTCGCTTAAAAACACGATTCATGGCTCGAAGTTGGTATCAAATTGATCTCCATGACGAACCCTATAAGAAAACAATCATCTTTCGGTCAAACGGGCAACAGAGCAACCTCGGATCATCCACGAACGATCACGTATGGTCTAAGGCAGCAGCATGGACTACTTTGGAGTTCCATGAATGTTAGGTAGGGGCAAAACAATCATTTTGCACCCATTTATAGAATTTATTTTAGTTCAAAATAGTTGTAATTATCATCAATTGAGATAGTATTTGGGCATCCACCCATGTTTGGGCCCAATTCGATAAATACATGCTAAACCTAATCGTAAAATGGTCCCGTGTTCTTCCTTGATTTCCCCTCATACTTTCAATTGATCAATAAAGTTCGTGTTTCTTCTTTGAATTCGTGGGTGCATCTTGGAGACAGAGAGAGAGGAGAGAGAAGAAAAGGGCTAGTACTCATCGATAAGGTAATTTTCTCTCTTCTCCTCTCCTCTCATCTCTATCTCTTTCTCTCCCCTCCTCTCGTCTCTCTCTTTCTCCCTTCTTTTTTTTTCTCTCTCTTGCTTCCTCTCTTTTTTCTTTCTTCTTCTTTAATCGGCTTCTCCTCTGTGAACATGTAGAGCTGTGGTAGAGCTGTGTTTGTCATCTTCTTCCTTCTCTTTGTCTAACGCACACGACGATGACAGCACTATATATGTCCCATTCTCTCTCTTTCTTCTTCTCGATCTTTCTCTCTGTTTCTCTCTGACTGAATGTGCATAGCGATGGCAACGCCATCATAAATCTCTCTCTCTCTCTATTTTATTTTCTCTATGTCGCACACACGGCGATGACAACACTGTGTGCATTTTCTTCTCTCTCTTCTTCTTCTTCCTCTTCTCCTCCTTTCTTTACTCTTCTCTCTGCTGTCTTTCTCTTCGTCTCTCTCTGTCTGAACATGCATGGCAATGGCAACGCAGTTCATAAGTCCCTTTCTTCTCCCTTTTTCTCTTTTCTCTATGTTTCTCTTTGTCTTTCTCTATCTAAACATACACGGTGATGGCAACGTCGTGCGTGAATCTCTCTTTTTATTTTCTTCTCTTTGACACGCACGACGGTGGTAGCATCGTGCGTACCTCTTTCCTTATTCTTCTTCTCTCTTTCCTAATCGCTCTCTCTCTCTTTTCTTCTTTCTCCTCTGGCTCTTTTCCAATTTCTCTTCTCACTTTCCTTTGCCCTCTCTTCTTTCCTTTCTTCTCTTTCTACTTTCCTTTCCTCTTCCTCTTTCTTAATCCTCTTTCCTGTCTTTCTTACCTTCACTCTGATTTCTTTTCTCTCTCCCCTCCAGTCGTGCACGGTGATGCTCATCACCATGTATGACATTCTCAACCTTCGTCTATCTTTTGAAAATATGTGCAGTGAGTCGGGCCTTAACTGGAGTGGCGGGCCGGGTCTCTGTCCCAATTTCCCATGTGGTGCACGACAATGCTCATTGTCGCACATGACATCCATTTCTCATTCTTGTCTCTTTCTCTCTATCAGGGGCAGCAGAAGTCCATCGCCATCCATATTCTTTCTCTCTCCTATTTCTTCTATCATGGATAGCGAAAGTCCATTTCTGTCCATGTTATTTTTCTCTCTTTTTTTGTCTTGGACGGTGGAAGACCATCGCCGTCCATGCTCTTTCTCTCTCCTCTTTCCTTTGTCATGGATGACAGAAGTCCATCGCCATCCATATTCTTTCTCTCTTATCTTCTCTCTTTCATGGACGGTGGAAGTCCATCGCCCTTCATGTACTTCTCTCTCCTCTTTCTCTATCATGGATAGTGAAAGTCCATCACTGTTCATGCTTTTCTCTCTTTTCTTTTTCTCTTCTTCTCTCTCTTCTTTTCTCCCTTTTTTTTTATTTCTCTCTCTTCTCTCTTCTTTTCTCTCTTCTTTTTCATTCTTCTGATCTCTCCCCTTTCTCTTTCTTCTTCTTCTCCCTCTCTCATTTGACCTAAGGACAAGTCTAATGCTTTCACAGTAGTCCCTTCGTCGAGCAGTATTACCGTCATGCCGGTTTAAGTTACTGTGCCCATCTTGCTGCCATGTCGAACTAGCCATTGTGCTAGGCTGGTTGGTGTTGATGTTCTGTCGTCAAGTAGTATTGCCACTGCGTCGGTCTGCGTTACCGTGTCCGTCTTACTACAACGTCAGGTCAATCATCATGCCAATCTAGCCATTGTGCTATAGTCACTCAGTTAAATGTCTCTTTCTTTTCTTCTTCTTCTATCTTATTCCTTCTCCTAACCATCATCCCATCATTTCTTCTCTTTTCTCCTTTGAATGTGCACGTCTGTGTGCATTCGCTCAAAGAAAAGGTCCACTTGTCTTGTAAAATTTAACCATGTGTGTGTGATTGCAGAAACATGAGATTATAGGCCAAGGGAGGCGATTCCGAACCAATTGTAGAACTGGGGGGCTTTCTTTGTGATCTAAGAGGGCACCCACGCAAGCCAGCTCGAGTAAGTCCCGAACCCACCTTAAAATCCTCTCTCATCGATTGGTATACCTACCCTTGATCCTGAGCAAGGTTCCCAAGAGAGCGATCTCAAAGTCTTGAGTTCCCCCAAAACCCGAGACGAGTGCCGCCAAATTATTCAGATCTGAAGGGCGAGATCGAGGCACTTAAATCATCAAGATGTGAATGTGAATATTCGGGAGGGTCGCCCCCCCCCAGATCTATATGGGCACTACGAATTGGGTCACCCGGTGGTATTGTAATGCCCTCTTGCCTGAAAGGCATGAGGAGAGGGTCGTGTCTTGCAAGGCCACAACCTATCAAAAAGCCCAAAAGCGCGCTAAGGATTGTTTACGTGTGTGAAGACATTACGAAATGGGTTTCCCATTTGTCATTGTCTTCTTTCCTAAGTAAGGGTAGAAGCTGCAATTTCGGGATTAGCTTAGCTTGATCGATGGGACTTTTACTTCGGGAGTAAGCTACACTAGGATTGCTTGTAAGCTCAATGTGTTTCTCTTGAAATTCTGATCTGTTATTTGATAAATGATGGGCCAACTATTAGCTCATGCAATATATTATATTCTGACACCTGATTTACACTTCTTTAACCAATTACCAAAATAATTGTGCTACATGATTCCATGATATGACACTTGCATGATTTTCGGGATATTGTTTATAAATGACATTGTATAGGCCGAAATGCATGATGTTGATCTAATTACTGGGATCTATAGCTCATTCCTTTGATTTTTTTCTTTGTGTAGAGTGATAACCTACGATCGTTGAGAGCGGACAGTTGGGCACTAGCGGTTGGCAGATGAGGTTCCGAGCTTGACGTGAAAAAGATTCTTCTTGATAGTGGGTGTCTGTTGGCAGTGGCCACTTAGTTGTTTTGTGGGTTGTCTTGAAATTTTGTTGTTGGGCCTATAGTGCCCTAGACATGTTTGCAATTAAATTTTGAAGCCTGTATACTTAAATTTTGGTTTTATTTTTGTCCAGCTCTTTGTACCTATGTGTGCATGGTTTTTGTTTTCATTCATGGTTTACTTTGATTCTGCCTTCTAAAAAGTGTTGAATGCACTCCCACCTGAGTGGCATTCGCCACCTCACATCGCGATCCCACACTCTATCGCCCTCCGACTAGTATGGTAGGGGTTAGGGGCGGGGTCGCGATAGCATAATCCTCGAGTTGCTTGAAACTCTCTTATCTAAGGGGATGATCGAACTACCAATGCCAAAGAGATGAAAGGAAGTTGGGAGGGATGATCAGCCCAATTATTGCCGATATCATAGGATGCTTGGTCGCAAGACTAAGGAGTGTATTATCATTGGATACATTATTTAGAATCTCATAAACAATGGGGAGATTGAACTAGCAGAATGATTCCACAAATGATCCAGTGCTACACCATGGTCCGGGCTGTAAGACTCTAAACTGCATAGCCATGGTCCAAGCTATATGTCCCTAAACTATAGGACACATCTTAGTGCAACGACGTTAAACTACACAACACACGGTCTCGAAGACAAGACCTTAAACTTGCCCTCCAGTCTTGGTGTATGATCATAAAGCACACTACTCTTATGGTCTCGGAGGCAAGAAGTTAAACATGCCCTCCAGTCTTAATGTATGACCATAAAACACAGTACTCTTATGATCTCGGAGATAAGACCTTAAAACATGCCCTCCGGTATTGGTGTATGACCATAAAACACATTACTGTTACGGTCTCGAAGGCAAGACCTTAGACATGCCCTAGGGTCTTGGAGGTAAGACCTTAAACATGCTCTAAAGTCTCGACGGACAACCTTAAAACACCCCAAATCGATGGTCATGGTGGCATGACCTTAAACACGCCTCCACAAGAAAAGAGGGAGACGGACATGATGAAAACCCAATATGTCGAAAATTTCACTTTTTGATCACTGCTGATTATCCTACGACTTCTGTAGTCCACAAGCATTTTGATACATACAGACCTAGGTTGCGAACTGCTCTCTCCTTATTCGTATCGGTAATACAAGTGATGGAAAATGACCTCAAACATCGTATCTCGCCCTCTCTCTTTCCTAAAGACCCTTCTTCTCTCTCACTTCTCTCTGTTTCTCTCTTCTATCTTCTCTCTCCTCCCCGAGTGATGGCCTCAGCCACCGTCTCTACCTCTCTATTTATTTTAGCCCCTTCTCTTCTCTCACTCCTCTCTTTCTCTTTTATATCTTCTCTCTCCTCCTCGAGTGGTAGCTTCAGCCGTCGTCTCGTTCTCCATCCCCCTTCTCCTAGCCCTCTTCTTCCCTTTCACTTCTCTCTCTTTCTCTTCTATCTTCTCTCACCTTTCCTCGTGCTGCGGCCTCACTTCCTCTCCCTATCTCCTTCTCTCCCTATCCGCTCTCCTCTATATTCTTTTTCTCTCTTCCTCTCTCTCCTTTCCCTATCTCTGTCTCTCTCCATCTTCCCTCCTCTCCTTTGTCTCTCTTCTCTTCTCTTCTCTTTTCTCTCTCGTTCCTCTCTTCCTATACCCTCTCTCTTTCTTTCCACTTCTCTCGCTCCTGTCTCTCTTCTCGCCTTGGTCCCTTTCTCCCTCTTACTCTCTCCACTGCCTTCCCCTTTTTCTCTCATCTCTCCTCCCCTCCACCTTTCACCTCTCTGATTCTCTCTCCTCTACTCTCGAGCGACGACCTAGGTCATCAGCTCATTCTCCTCATCTCTACTCTCCTTTATCTTTAAGGTAGGGGCTTAAGTTGTTGGCCTTTCTCATCTCCTTTCTTCCTCTCCCCTTAAAGAAAAAAAGATAAATAATAATAAGGCTTATACCGTAAGTCCTTCGTCGAGAAGACACTATGAGGTCGTCTAATTGACACAGGCTCTATGACACCACCCCGCTTTATTTTTTTTGGGTGTACACTGATTAGGTGCCTCAATCTCGCCTTCCAGATCTAGATGATCTAGCGGCACGTACCTCGGGTTTCTGGTGAACCCGGGGTTTGAGATCGCTCTCTCAGAACTTTTCTCAAGAGCAAGGGCAGGTATACCAACCGATGAGAGTGGAATTTTAGGTGGGTTTGGGACTTACTTAGGCTGGCTTGTGTTGGTTCCCTCTTAGATCACGAAAAAAGCGCCCCAGTTGCTTTAGCTAGTTCAAAATCTCCTCCCTTGACCTACAATCCTCTTGTTTTTTGCACAACACTTATATGGTTAACTTGTAAGACAAGTGGGTCAAGGAGACCCACCCTTGTCTTAGGGCAATGTACGTTCATGTGAGAGCATGATGAAACATAAAGTTTTAGATAAAGATAGAAAAAGAAGAAAACCTCGACAGAGAGGCAAAGCTAGCATGACATCTGGACAATTATCAACTTTGAGTGGTAGCAAGACGGGCATGGTCTTCAAGACCAGCACGACGGTAAATACTACTCAAAACCGAGACCGAGATGGTAGTGCTAAGCTAGATCCACCCTCAGTCAAGTTAGAAGAGAAAAGAATGAAGAGAAGAGAGAGAGAGTCGACAGAGGGAGGAAGAATCCAGACGGCAATGGGCATCACTGTTGGTCGCACGAGGAGGCGACATGTCCCTAGCGAACACTGATGGCTCCTAATGAGGCGGACGACTATAACTTCTCATAAGTCTCTCGCGGATTACTTCTAGTAGGGTGCACGGCGATGGGTGCAGGGAAGCACGGAAAAATCAACACGCAGCAATGAGTATTGCCTCGACCCTTTGTGAACGACGATGGGTATTGCCGTCTGCAATGGTCACGCGACAAGGTGAAGCCCCTGAGAGCGGCGATAGGCTTTGTTACCCGCGTCCTTCGTTGAGGCGCTTAGGATACGACTGTAGATGGCGATAAGCAGGTCCATCTATAGGCCTCGCAAAAGAGATATAATAGAGGGAGAAAGAGACGCAGTCATGGAACTGCCATCGCCATGCGCGACCTGTGAGGCTACCAAAGAGGCATGTATAGCACTGCCACTACCATGTATGGCCTCTGAGGAGAGCTCAGTCGGGGAAGAAGAAGAAGAAAGAGAAGAAGAGAGAAGAGAAGAGAGAGAAGAAAAGAAAATAAAGAGGGCGACGGTTTACCTCAAACCTAAGGGTACCGATCAAAAGTTTCCCTCACCCACTCTCTCTCTCAAGCGTGACATAATAGTGGGAAAAAAGAGAAACTATATTCAGTAAAAACTCTCTTTTGCGAGGAGATGGATCTTGTGTGTGTGTGTCCTTTTCTACGTATAATGCTGGTACGTATATATAGAATTTGCCCCAAACATGGGTAGATGATCAAAAGTAACCCTAATTGCTGAAAATTAAGATTAAATTGAATTAAAAGAAATTCGAAAATAGGGTGTAAAATGATAGATTTGACCCTTTATAACAATTCTTGGAATTTTAAAATAGTCCCTGTGCTGCTCTAGAACTTGTGTGATCTTGTATGGATGATCTGGGGTCATTTTGATGCCCGATTGATCGTAAGATGATTGTTTTTTTATAAGGCTCAATATGGTAATCGATTTGAAACCAACTTCGAGCCATGGATCGTGTTTTTAGTACACGATCATGTGACTTGATATTTGAGTCGATCTTGAAACTTCGGATCGATAGTGTACTCGTTCCTTGATGTTTTTCAGTGATTTCTTCACTAAACTACATTGAGCATGCCGTTACGATCGTGGGGCAACAAACTCAGTTCGATTCCATGTCCGGACGAAGATTTCGCAACTTTGAAATTTTTGTCAGAATCAAGAATTTCGGCAACGGAATTTGCAATTGCTTCATCAGCCTCATGTGCAAAATCCGTCCGTTCAACATGTACGGGGTTCAAGTTAGTGATAGCCCGAGACCTTATGCCCACAATGGAATTGGTCTCACGTCGATCTGGCTCACGAGTGGCGTGATCCGGCTGCTTTAGCAAGACACGATGCTGCTGAATTTCCTGCACTTTCTTCACAGATCAGCAACTTCTCTCTAGATTTTCTTCGCTCTTGGTTGTTGTCATGGGGCGTGCCACATATCGAATCGTTCGTCTTGATTAGACGAACATGCTCATCAAATTTGAGCACGATTCGACTTAGGACAAATGAGATATGAGCATCAAAAGTCACTGGTCATGACTATCCCTTCCATGGAATGGAGTTGCAAGATGGTCGCATGGGAATAGCGTGCGACCCCTCCTGTTTCACTCTTTTGCCTATAACTTCTTCCTGGAGTGTCTGTTCGAGCTGAAATTTGACCCCTAGGGGTTTTCAACTGTGTCAGCTCCAATGGTGGTAGTCCCACAACAAATTGTGGCAGCAAAAATGTAGCTCTAGTCATTGTTTTAAGGTGCTAAAGGCCAATTCTGCTAGAACTGTTTTTCTATCTGCACTGCCTTAAACATGTCAAACTATGATGAAACTTGACATGAGACTTTTGAGAGACCTCATGAAGATCTTGGCCAGTTCTGGGGCTATTATGAGACTATTGAAATTTCTACTGTTTGCTAGGCCTTTATTGAGCGGGGGCCCCATGTTGATGAAAAATACCTTCCAACAGCAAGCCCTATCGAATGTTGTGCTTCAAGAGAATCGAGAAGTGCAATTATTTAGGAATTTTGAGGGATCTTGTCGAAGTCCTCACCCTGGACTATTAGGCCTTTTTTTGAAGGCCAAATGCTACGAACCTTTGGTCGGCATTGTTCGCTGCTATACTAGGTTTGCATTTGATACTCAGGGTATCTCTATAGGTCCCGTCTAGCGGGGTCCAGTTGGGGGCTTTTAACCCATCCCGAAAGTTTGGTTCCATGTAGGCTAGGGGGTTTTGGCGAGACATACCCTGAAGCATGTGGCAGGTTAGACTCTGGCTTTGTCAGTTTCTTGCCTTCGTGATGGTCCTTAGCATTTCCAAAGGGATCTTTTAGTCATCGTACTCACCCTTAAGGACTCTTGTTGTTGTTGAACTGGGGAGAGCATATGAGGCTCTTACTCCCTGATGAGCCAAGTTGAAACATGAGGGATCTTATGTGT